TCCTTTAATAACTAGGCTGGGTGTTTTGTATTATTCCTACCCCAGAAGCAACCAAAACATCCAGCCAGCATTAGAGCTTTATGGTCCTAGTTTCTCTGCAAAGAATGCATTGCTGCCAGTTATTTGCAATTTTAAGAAAAGCAAACAGAAAACCTCTACAGGAATAAAAGAGTGAATTGAACAAGTGCAAAGCTGCTCCACGGGCATAGAAACCTAAATCTGAATAATATATTATCAGTAACAACCCCAGACCTCATTACATACTGTTCTGTGATCATATACATTTAATTTAAGACTCTGCATAGCGCTGCATTTATAAATGGAAAAGTATACTGCATAGCAAATGGTACATAAAAAGGGATTTCAGCTTTAACGTGAACTTTTGAGAAGATCATAAAATTCAAGACAGATCATTCTACAAATCATCTTTACAGTTACCAGATTGTGGCTCTACTTAACCCTTCTCTAACAGAATTCAGCAGAAGCACTCCCCTCTGGCTCTGAACAACAGGAAAAGCTACTGAAAGAGCATATAACATGAAAAGATCTAGCTCTCAAAAGAATCATAGCATCTGCTTTTGCTCCTGGTCTCAGCTCTTCCAAGAAGCACAGGGAAATAGGCATCATTCAGGTCAGTTTTATAATTGCTCACGTGGTTGCAAACTGTAGTGAATAAAGACATTGAGATGTGGGTCACTGCTGTGGTACTAGTTAGAAAAGTAAGAACGTAGCACCATAGCTACAGGTGCAAGACGACTACTGCCTCTCTTGAAAAAATTAACTCCAGAACTGTCAGCAGTAAATTTTTAGGGAAAGTTGGTCACTACAAACGACAAAAACTGCTTCTGGTTTGCCCACATCTTTAAAGCCACTTGGTACTTTAAAGTGGCTTTCTCTAGATGTAAGAACAACAAGCATGCATTAAACTTTGGCAATTATGTGTTGATAGCTTAAGAAAAATTATTAGTATGAACATTTGCAATAACCATCAGCTATATATCTATCAAAATGGACACAGGCTTGAAGAACAATACTCTGAGACATGGAAAACGTTTCGTATCTTATGATGCTACACAGTGGATGCTTACACAAAGAATTCACTAGAGAACAGCAAGCATCTGTAGTTTCACACAAGTTCTCCAGTCTCTCTGCAAGGAGAAGAATTTTTCATGAAATAAAAAAAAGTCAGAAGTGCTTTCCCAAAGCAGCAGCAAAAACAGCACGTACTTTCTCATGGCTGATCATACTCTTTTTTTTTTTTTTTTTTCTTTCTCCTAAGGAACAATGCAATCCCATCACCTTTATGCTACTACACTGCACACACCCAAACGACACTGTCCTCAGGGATCTCAGACCTCAATACCACACTGCAATTAAAGTACAAAGTAACACAACAGAGATCGTTTGCTAGTACCTGCATCCTCTAGCACCTACCTTTCTGACCACAGGAATATGTTACACTGAGCTAGCTTACACCTACCTAATTTGCAGACTTTACTGACCAAAGCCTGGCACAAAGTCAGGAACACACAAGACCTTTTCACACCAAGACAACTGTTTGGGCAGGCAAACTGGAAATACCTCTTTTTCAGATGCCCTTCTCTTTCTAATAACAAGTACAGATTTAACCAGACAATTGCATCTCACTACACTTACAGCAAGTTTCTTGTTTTTCTTCTTCTCCAGCCTGATAAACATTCACTAATTTCTAGTAAGTGGATCTACAGAAGAGATTGACTGACAAACGTCAACAAAAGTTCAACAGCTATCTGAAAGTGTGGCAAGAGCCTTATCCACAGAACAAACATCGGGAGAAGAACAACCAAATATGGCAAAAGCAAAACAAAACTCAATCTCATTTTGAAGCCACTACCAAGCTTTTCAGAGGCCTGATTCACTGTTGGAGCACTGGGCTGGTAGTACTGGATCTCATGGCTCTGAAGAGCCTATGCTAGATGCTGGAGTTAACTTCGGTCTTGTCAATAGCCTGCCGTTTGTAACAACTGGTTTTTGAAGGACATTTGCATTGTCACTTCAAAACCCTTGGGTCAGATGGTTTGGGGGAAAAGTATAACTTGGACAAGAAAGAAAAAAGATACTTTTTCAAGTTGTTTTATGCAGTTGCTCAGTCAACCCTTTTTCCTACTGTGTAAAATAAGGCATAGGTTCACAAAACTCCCATCTGGACACTGCTGGGCTATTCACTTCAAGGCAGCTACTCATTTCCAGGGGCTAAACTTCATCAACAAACAATTAACATACATTAAATTCTTTGGCAATGCTGTTTTCCCAACTAAACTCCTACCAAGGTGATGTTGTGCAAGTCCCCACAATGAAGGAAGGAGGAAGCAACAAACTCCACTTACCATTCCAGATTCAAATCCATACTGCAAGTTGGTATCTGTATCTTCTAAGAAAATGAATCTCCTACAGTAATATACTGGAAAAGCTCAATAACTTTTGCAGACACAGATGCAAATTTAGAACTTCAGGACATCTACACTCAACAGGCAGCTGTTACTATTGACCTACATACAAGTATTATTGTGCTCAGTGCCATTAATGGAGAATATCTCATTTGTTAGGGCAAAGCCAAATTTTAACTTCTGCATGCTTAATTCCTCTTCAGATCAAACTTTATTCCTGCCTCTTGCACTTTATACTCCATAAGCCACTCACGCAGAGCATCCTCCTCTCCAGTCCAATTAAGATTCTGCTTTCAACTCCCTCTGTAAAGTTTGCTGTGCTCCCGTCTTCTCCCCAGCCGCGTCAGCAGCTAGGATGACCACAGATGGAGCACGTTTGGCAGCTGAAATGACCCAGATGCTGAATCTGGAGCCATCTTCCCAGCTGCAGTAGCTGGGCTCACGTCCGACTCCTCAGCTGTTGGCTGTCAAGCTGCCCCCAAGCTGTGCCAAGCGTACATCTCAAAGCTTTGACCGAAGAGGGGCAAATGCTCTAAATCTGTGAAGCCTGCTGACGAAAAGGGTAACGAAGACTAAAGGTTTTAAAAGTAGGCAGTGAGGGAGACCAAACACCCTTCCTCCTTTCTCTTCTATCCCTCTATTTTTTCCACAATCTCTTTTCCCCTATTAATAAAAATTCAGGAAGAGCTGACTGGTGAGAGCAGGTCTAATGTACCATGTCCTAGTCTGAGGTACTGACTAGCAGGAGATTCCCCTTCACTCGTCAACACTACATGCAGTGGAAGGTGGTTCATGTACCTCCGCATCAAGTCCAGGCATAGCAAGGGCTGGGAAATAATCTTATTGAGGGAAAGGTGGACAGACAATTCCATTACTCATTCTTTGAGCCTCCTAGACATCTTTAAACTGTCAAAGCTGCAGAAATTCTTGTACAAATCAGGAGCGACTATTTAATATCCTACTTCTGACCAATTTCATCATGAGCTTGAACCCAGGAAGGGACTTCTACGTCCTCGACACCTCCTCACCGAGGAGCAAAAGAAAAGGCTCTCCTTGATTCAGTGGCCTCAGTCATTCAATTACCACTATGCATTCTGATCTAGATTTAAGGGACAGTATTTGAAGTTTTGGCCCTTTACCTCATCTCTACTCGTCCTGGCACAGTACTCCATGTGCTGATAAAATAAACCATCCCCACCCACCAGTAAAGTACCTCCACATGGTCTATTTGCTACAGAAAAAAAGAAGTCTCTTCTGAAATAGCAAGCCAAACTTACAAATGCCTCTTTCAGGTTTCTTGTATATATTGCATATTTACGTACTGTACCTGTTAGAGCTCCTGAAAGGAAAACACTGTTTTAGAGAAAGTTTGTTTTTCTAAAATACCATATTTGACAGTGAAACATATTTTGCACATTTATTATTAAATAGCCTATGCCTTGCTATAAACCTAAGCATTTCCAAATTAAAAATAAAGATGATCTTCCGAGTAAAGGGAGCAGCGTCAAGTTAATTCTACCCAAATGCTTTTGTAAAAACAAATAGCATTGTTTAAGACACAAGAGTAATACATGTTTCCATTTTTAATTACTACTGAAAACAGTAGTTCTGAAGCTAACTTCACCCTGCAGCACTTGGAAGTCACTAAACTGAATTACAGGCTCTAAGAACCTTCAAGTGAAACAGACTTCAGGTGCAACAAGTGGACTGTATTTTAGGAAAACCAATTCAATTTAACAATATAGTAGCAAAGGAAAGAGACTGTCTACAGTACCTTTTCTTTCCTTTAACCCTCTTCTTTCTAGACAAGCATCTCAAAATCAGAATATCTGTAATGAGGAACCAGGATCCAATAAACCACCAATTTTTATTCTCTACTCAGAGATTTCTTGTGTGGTTGTGTGCAAGGAAATTAACATGTCAGCCTCAGTTTCTTTATATGCAATCTGAATTAGATGTTGGGGGAGGGAGGAAGAGGCAACTTAGAGTTAAATAATTATTCATCATTTCTTTAATTAAAAAATATATATAAGCACTCAGTTTTCAGATCCAAAATACACAAAGTAAAAGAAGGCTACTACTCAGCTGAACTGGAACTCCAACCCTCGTGCCCACTTGCTCTGCAGTATTTGGAGAAAAGGCAGGATTTGCAGCACTCCTGCCATGAACAAATCCAGGCTCTGCTAAGCTCCAAGGAAATAAAGTTGCAAAACAGAAGGTGCCTCACACAGCCAGACACACCTATTTGTTTACATAGCACAGACTCCAATTTCAATCCCCCAAAGTACTCAACTACAGTAGTAGTGTAGTGTGTAAAAATGACACTTAAAATGAATAGTCAGTAAATAAAGCCAATTTACAGGACTCCAGAAAGCATAGGAAGCTTTCGGCAGCTTCCTAGCTTAGTTACTAAAAAACAAATCTATGTATTAGGCCCTTCAGAATATCACCTCTTCATTATGTTTCCACAGCACCTCGCAAAAGGCGGCCCTCAACCGGTAATTGAAAATGCCAGGAAAGCCCAACACAAGTCATGAGTTCTGCTTTTAAATGATGTATTGGGAACCTTCTGTCCAGGTGACAGCGTGCCACTGCAGGATTTTTATTTTTAAACAGTATGACATTATAAAAATTATTGTTCAAGGCACTGTAATTTACACCTACAGATTAGCACTGCATTCAAGAAAAATCCTAACAAAACAACTTACTGCCTTTCCATCGCTACATTTGCCAGAGTGAAAAGAGACTGCCACCCAGTGGACTACAACCAAGTACATCAACTGCAAGCCATGACATTCAATACAGAATTGTTGAAAATTTTATTTTTAAGAAACTGCAGTTATTTTTAGGATTTTTCCCATTAATATAATAATGTTTCAAATACATAAATTCACTTGTCATTCTGTCCTGCACCTGAAAAATCAACACCTGCATGAAGGCACTGTACTTACAAAGCTTTTCAGAATTACAAGAAAAAAATAATCTACCAAATCAAGCTTTCAGCAGAGAAATAGTTAACTAGTGCAATCACTCAGTTCAGAGGTGGGTTATGTTCTAAATGCAGCTTGTGCCATCCTTGGGAAGGATTCACCTGTAATATGGCAATGCTGAATAGCATACACAGATAGTGTAACACCTCTTGAGGTCTGGAGTTCATTTGTATTTGTAAAATCCTTCTCCAGTCTTCTTACCCAGCTTCTTCTCTTCTACCAGTTTATCCAGGAGTGGGCTGGGTGCAAAAAGAGGATTGTTGGGCTCTAATGAATGCCATCCTGGTGGAGGAAAAGAAGCAGATGAATGAGTAACAGTTCTGTTTATATGCAAAGATAATAGAGATCTGCATCTCCTTAGAAAAATATTAAGAGGTCAGAAAACTGGAAGAGGTTTGGAACTTATTCTAGACTCTCTGAAACCCTTCAATACACAGCTTCATAAAGCACAGATCAGTATTGATGATTATGAGCAAATCTAGCAACTAGTCTTTAGGCGTAGTCTACTCTGAACACCTTATAATCTCCATGACTGAGGATTTTTAATACTTTAAAAAAAATTAAGGAGAACTTTTAAAATATAGTTAAGTACAAGGAAATAAAACAAAGGCTACGCTGAAAAGAAATTCAAGTGGAAAGAAATTCCAAGTTGAACTTACACCTGCGAAAGACATGGTCAGTTAGAACAATATAACCCTACTCCACAGTACTGGCTAAAAGCAAAAATGGTTTCACTGAAGATGCCGTTTTGAAAGTGCCTTTGAGAGTATTTAAGCTGCTCATTCAAAATAATACAACAGCCATCAACAGGCCATCACCAGTTATGCCTTTCTTTGTTATGGTACTGACATTCATCCACTTGTCAACTGAAGTGAAAGGGAGATGGTATACTTGCATCTTTTAAGGTATTTACTGGGTTTCCTATTAATTGAGACTGAAAACATGGCTGGCAGAAATAGGATAGGGAGTCTCAACATTTGTTGCTTTTCATCAGAGTTTCTTACCTTCAGTACATGTGTCTCTTCCCACTGGCTCTTTTTAGTTGTATAAAATTCCACTAATATTATTATTTTCCACTGGAACTTGATGAAGTCAGCAAAACCACCACTGTTCATAGGGTACTCATACAGCATTCTGAGCTGAATTCTCATTCCTTTCTCCTCAACAGTTAAAAGGCTATGCCATAAACATTCAGTTTAAACTAATTAAGAGTCAGATTTTCATTAGAACATTCATCTACAATTTAGCTAAAAAGGGGAAAAATAGAAGAAAATAAGCATGCAGTACCATCTATAATGTATTTACTGGTATCCAACCCAACATAGTCCAGCAGTTCAAATGGACCCATGGGATAACCAGCCCCAAGCTTCATAGCAACATCAATATCTTCCTTTGATGCATCTCCTAGAGAAAAGATTGACAGTTTGATGAACAGAGAAGATTCTGCATCTACTTGGCACCACTTATAAATAATTAACAGGGTGTTATTTCACCCTTGTGCAGCTCTTCACAGAAATCGCTGCACGTTTCAGAACCACAAAAACTGGAGTCGACATACACATGCTGGAGTATAATGCAGAATCCCTCACAAAAAAAAAAAAAAGAAAAAGAAAAAAAAGAAAGCCCTGCAGGCCTGCTTTCCATTTGTCTAGCTTCCTCTTGTATTTCAGTATAGATCACTGTGCTATTGATGGAGCCACAGCTACTGTGCTCAACCTATCAGAAAGACTAGACTAGAGGAAGAACTGGTCGCTGTGAAGAATCAAGAACTTTTAGAGGCAGCTGAATAGCGTAGGTAAGGAAAGACCTCAGTTTCAGCTTCATGAGATCAGCAACAACTTTTGAATGATGCACAGGACAGAGCTACCCTTACTCTACAACAGCCAGAAGACAAGTGATATTCAGCTGATGGACAAGGCAGGCATGGCAGGGGGGAAGCAGTAGCAGCTGAGTAACATGCTTAGTGACAGCAACTTTCACCGGAGGATATCCATCAGCACCCGAGATGATAGGAGTGACCTGAAGAGACGATGTATCTGCAGTTAAATTTGTGAATTCCAAAATTATTTAAAAAATAATCAAAATTATCAGAAATCTGTTACTTCTACTTCAGTCTGTGCCTATAAAAATACAAATCCTGCACTGCCACATTGTCACAGTTAATATTCACCTCATTCTTTTGCTGGGAATGCATATTTTATACTGTCATGAAAGCAGATGCACCTCTACTGCTTAATGCTACTAATACATATTTTGATAAAGGCAGTGCACTTCTTTGCAGATCCTATAAAAAGGACAAAGTTTAACAAACCCCAGAGGTACCTGTTAAATAACCTCCATGCTCGATGCGTACAGGCTTTCAGGGTGTCCAAAAGCTTGACAGACATAGCCTATGCAATTTATACACCTAAGATCAGAGAATCTTACAAATAAATTTTCAAAGTCTCTTGCAAAGGCAACAACTTCAGTGAAAGTTCTGTATGAAGTAATAATTTTTATATATCTCCTTTTACCCTTTAAAGCTGACAATCTATTTTTTTTTAAACCACGTTTTATTTCTGAGAAACTGAGAAAATTAGCCTTACTTAGTTCTAACATAATTTCAGTTCCCCAAATTTGAACATATGTAAATCCTCAACCCATTTGAAGTTGATGCAGACATACATACTACTTCTATCAACAGATTTGTCCCACTTTTTTGTCAAACTTGGGACTTGGCCACCCGACAGTATACAGTTGCGTTACAATACAACTAAAAATAGTAAAAAGGCAAACAGGGGTTGTACCCCTAGTTCATGTTAGTCTCCTCCTATAAAGCAGACTTCCACAGAAACTTGACTGACTGCTTTTTTAGTTTTCCATTAAGCATAGGGCAGTACAGCCCACCACACATTAATATTTATAATATGCCCGCTGTTTAAATCACTGTTAATACACTAAATGTATTTTGCCTATGCAAAAGCGCACGTTTAACCCAAGGAGATTTTGTATAAATAAAGACTCAAGGACTGACCCAATAAAACGGTATTTCAGTACTTGGGGTTGCCAGGAAAGAGATCCAAATTTCATACTAATGTGGATGACAATCTGGCTCAAGTGTCTACTCCAAGAATTAACGCAAAGGATATGATAAAAATTTTACCTGATTCAGTGGAAATTATGAATTAGAAGACAGCCATCAGGCTTTTCAAAACATTAACCAGCTTTTCAAATAGATTTCGTTAGAGTTAAAAATTCATAAGCGAACTTTAACAAGTTTGGAAATATCATACTGTTGAACAAAATACAAACAGAATAAAGATTAAATCAAAATATTGTTTTGCTTAGGCAGAAAACAGTCAATTTTAACATACAATCTCAGTGACTGTTTTCTTCTACATTTAATTAAAAGTTCTATTGTCTCCTGAAATATGCATAATGATACATGCCACTTAGAGGCACCTCTTTTTACACACACTGAACACCCATACACTTTATTTAAAATTGTGACTTTTGCTAAGAGAATAACGCCTCCTTGCATCCATGCCTTTGCCTTTCAAGTCACTAAATTTGCTCTTTTCTCCCTTTGAGATGTAATTAGGTACATCTGTTGATGGATAAACAAGTAACGTTGGCTTATATTTTTTTCTGGAGATCAAACCATCCCTTCCATGTGCTGTAAAAGAGATTTTTAATATTTAAAGCATATTTGGTGGAATCCTGATAATGGAGTGCTTTCATCTGTAAAAAAGCATTGATTTCAAAACCAAAATGTTTCAAATTACTTTCTTAGTAGCACGCAGCTACAAGCAGAGCACTTGAAATAAAAGCAATTATACTCCATAATTTCCTCTTTATCCACTAGATTATTGGCTTGCTTCCTTTTCAAAACAATTATCAATGCTTTGAAAAAATTAGTCGTTCTTTGCAGATGCGTGATTATTTCTACCTACCCTCAGTATTAACGTAAAAGAGACCAGTTCCTAAAGAACCTATGTCTAAAAAAGGACATAGAAGGGGAACAGGAAGTTTTGTGGGGCAATAGTTGAGCCCAAATCACTTGTATGCCAGTACCATAGTGTGACACTGAGTATTACACTACTTACCTCACCTGAAAATTGGTGTTTTATTTCACAAGCCCAACAAGCGAACTCACGAGAACTTTGCTAATGGTCCCACTATGTGATTTTCAACCACTTTCATTAATGTCTCTTGGGATGGAGAGAAGGAAGTTCCTGATCAGTTGGCAGAGGATATTTTTACAGTGGCACTACACTCACTTTGTCATCTCCAAACCAGAAACATTTTCCATCACCAGAAATTTCCCACACAAGTAACAAGTACTTTCTGACTCTGCATACACTGACATTTCAAAGTGAAGACAAGGTCTTTCCAACTACACATATTGGGGCTCATATTTGATGTTCATTATTCACTTCCAGCCTTTAAGGTCTGAAAGTTTTGAGGGAATCCCAAGGCTTTTCTGAAGCTATATAACGTTTAGCAGTGTTATGTCAACATTCCCTGAAGTCAATATCCCAACAAGTACCTCTCTCAAAAAGCCGAACAGCTTCCATCATATATGGCACCAAGAGACGGTTTACAATAAACCCTGGAGTATCCTATGAAAACAAAAAAAGGGATTCTAAATAAACATTCTTTACCAGTACTACTCTCAAATGCTACATGACAAATTAAACAAGTGGATGAAGACACTGATTGAATCATCAACTGCTGGTACTTTCTAAACTGTATTTTTCATCAGATTTATCGGCTCAGTATTAAAACACAAAAGATGAATTTCACAAACAAGGAATGGCACATAAACATTCATCATTGACTGAGAACAATAAGACTACTACAAGCCCAACTCAATTACTCTTAAAACAATTTAATGTGGTCAGTTGGCAAACGTCTTTTCTTTAGCAAAATTCTGCTGATACAATTTCCTGAAGGATATGAGAAGAGCACATCTTCCCTAACAGTTTTTTTTGTGTGTTCACTACTAGAAACACTCCTGGATAAATAGCGTACTTGTCCTCCATTGCTCACTGGTAAACCATGCTTTTGAAAGTTAGGATCACTTCAATAGCAAACACCAATGCTACCAATGAAAAGATAAGATACATGCTGTCAGAAGATGATAACAAACTGATACAAAACTGCTTTTACACAAGCCTTAATCAAAATAAAAAATACAAAGAAAAGAGAAAGAGCTTTGCAAATATAGTGTTATTTCGTCTACTACTGCTGTTTCGGATGTTTATTGTTCATTCCATTTTATCTCAATATTTAATCCAGAGAATTCCGAACAACTTTCCTTCTACAAACAGGAATTAAAAAAAAAAAAAAAGAAAAAAAAAGGTTCAGATATGGAGACTGCATTACCCTCTACCCAAGCTAATTTATAAACAATAATTCATCATATATTCTGCACATTACATACTACAAAACTGTGACAGAAACAGGAAAAAAGTCAACTAAGGACACAGAGCAATTTAGCAGTACAGCCATAATTAGAGTCCAGCATCCAGACACTGAATTACTGGTAACTACCGAATTGCAGGCCCTTCTTTTTATGACCAAATGTCTCCTGGGGGCTGTGAAACTCAAGGCAATAGCTTGTATAAAGCTACCCAGACCACAACTTAATGGACTCAGAAGAAATGTGCTTAGGAAGTAGGGTGTTCCTCTAGAGAAAAAAACCAAAGCTGCAAAGCAATGAAGATTAATATGGATCTAGTTACTACAGTCTTAAGAAAAACTTGCAATGAGCGCACACCATGGAGGATCCATCTAACTGCCTCGCAGTACAAGAGGTAGCAGACTTGTCTCTAGCATGGCTTAAGATGAGCTCCTGCTTAAGCTCTCCAGTCCAGGCTTCGGCAGGACTGAAAAAGAAAAACCAGAAACTGTAAACCCTGATACTTGTGAGTTTTGCTGCTTCTCACAAGATGTCTAGAGTCACTCTGCTTTGAGGAATTTGTGGTAAATGTGGGCATTTTCTTTGTCAAAATGCTTTTAATAGGGAAGAGAAACTGGACAAAAAGCAGCCTGGAGATTCTTGAAGTGCTCTTACATCTACTAAAACCTACCACCTTAAAATTAACAGTTTTCAAGAATAGACCTTCTGAACCCTGTACAACCAAAATGTACTCACCTTACAACTGACGGGACTCTTTCCTACTGCTTTACTGAAATCCACAAGTGATTCAAAAGTCTTTTGGCTGGTCATTGGAGTCTTGATGACCTGGGCAGAGGGAAGGTGGGGAGAGCGTAAGAACATTTATGAGCAGAATCTTTCTCATTTCCCAATACAGCAATGATTAAACTGTAATCCAGAACACTATTCCAAACATTCACAAAACAATTTTTTTTCAAAAACCTGTTTCAGTGGATATGTAACAGACACAGAAATCTATTTTAAAGATAGATACAGCATTTTGCACACTTTGAAATTATGTGTTTCTTTAAGATACTTACCTACTCAGCCAGTATGGATAGTAAAAGGGACCATCCTTTGGAATCCCACTTAGAGATTATAGTATAATAGGACAACTTTAAAAGGTACATAGCCTCTGTTGCCTTAGGAAGCACAATGGCATCAATCTAGGGAACCATATTAACAGACATATTTCCTGATATAAAGGGTTGTAACATCTACCCTGTGCCCAATGTAAACATGACACAGACACTTAATTCTAAAGAAAATTTAAAATCTATCTTTCGAATATGTGACAGCCTCTTAGCTTTTGAGTAGCATGTTTCCATATTGATTTTCTTCACAAATGAGTCTTTTATCACATGTAGTACTTTCTATAATGCATCCAAACTCCAGTGAAGTAAGTCATTTATTAGAGACCTATCCACCCCGGAGGGGAAAAAGGGGAGGAAAAAGGGGAGGAAAAAGGGGAGGAAAAAGGGGAGGAAAAAGGGGAGGAAAACGGGGAGGAAAACGGGGAGGAAAACGGGGAGGAAAACGGGGAGGAAAACGGGGAGGAAAACGGGGAGGAAAACGGGGAGGAAAACGGGGAGGAAAACGGGGAGGAAAACGAAAAAAGACTTGCAGAAGCTGAACTGATGGTGACTTTTGTGTTGAAACTGACCTCCATGTGCAGTAACTGAAAAATGCTATATATAAGCAGTTAAGGCTGACCTCCCTGTTCTTACAATTAAGTCACACAGAGATTTCCCCCCCATCCTAATGACTGACGTAAGGCCAACACAAAAAAACCACTGTTAGGACTGAGGAAAAGGCTTGTTTCTCAGCAGAAAAATAGTGTTCTTTTACTTTGACATTAGATAAAAATATCTGAGATACTTACATAAGACTGCAACAGTTTCAAGAATTAATTTTTAATATACACTTCAGATTTCGAAACATTAGCACCAGTCTTTTGGATTATTAGAGAAAGAAATGCCCTCAAAGCTATGCGCTTCTGAGCATGAGATCAACAATCTATGAAAACAGCAGATAAGACTCAAAGGCACTGCAGACTTATGACCCATGAAGGACAGCTTCCGTGACAGATGACTGGCTATTTCAGTAATATCTTTTATGGTTTGGGCAATTCTCTTCATTTTCCCCAAACTATTTCAAACGGAAACATCTGTTTTACATAGAAAATATTGTTTTACAGGGTTTGTCAATGCCAATCCTGATTTACAGCAGTAGATCTGAAACAAAAGCAAAGCCTTAAAAAGTGCATTTATTTACTAACATTGGTGCCTTTCAAGATCGAGTCATTAGAAGTACAGTTCTGTGTTTTAAAGTTCTCCAAATACTAATCAGCTGGAGTGACTCTGGGCTAGGACATTCATAAGTCAGGTGAAAAAAACCACAAATTATAAAGATTGACCACAGCAGTCATACAGAGATTGCTCTGTTTTGATTTTTACAAACGATGATAGATATCTTCTGTATTTTTCAAACTTCACAGTGGCTTAGTTTAGATTTCTAAAGACTATAATTTGTTTTAGGCTTGAGACAAGGCATAGAACATTTCATCCATAGAAATAAATTACTGCAACAAGTAGTTCTTAGCACAGAAATCAATAAAGCCTATGTTAGCCTAAGGAATTATGCTAAAGATTTCTGTTATCTCTCACAACACCTACAAAATTTCTTCCTTTCCTTCTTACAACGTTTCCCCAGAGCATTTAGCCACAATAAAGAGAATGTAATATTAAACTTAAAAAAAAAAAAAAATCCACATGGGTGCAGAAGTTAGTGAGAGAAAATCTGCAAGTGTCTGAGCCCTCGTCAGACAATCAAACTCTGAATCAAATTTGTTCTTCATTTCAGCCAAAAGGTTCAAACATTTCAAAAGGGGAAGGAAGAGAATGATACATTCAAAGATACAGAGCAAGCAACTGCATAATATGTATTTTAATTGGAAACAAGCAAAAAAATACAATAAAGTGAGTCTCAGGAGTTCGAAAGGCAGGCAGAACATATTTCAAGTGCTTGTCACCAAAGCAGTACTAGAACTAATCACTCATGGGACAGGGGAAAAAGATTTACAGCATTTAGGGGCACGAAGTACATGAAACTTTGGGGTAGAGTGGCCAAAATGCAAAGTTTATTTTCACTTACTCAAGTTTATAAGTTGTAGCTGATCAAGATCAGCCATAACAGGGAAGGTAAGAAAAAGCAGAAGAGACACCTGTCGTTTTTTCTGCACTGTGATCTTTACTTTGGAGGCTCAGATAAACTCTAATATGGGATTATTTCTTATTCTGCTCTGCATTGCAGTATTATTAGAAATTATATGATGTAGCCAAAGAGTATGTTTAGAAAAGACATCCAAAGAGTTATGTAAAACCTTCTTTTTACACTTCCTTAAAGGTTGGGAAATATTGTAATACTTCCAGACAAATCATCTGGAACATTGAAACAAGCATGACTGACTTTGTTTCAAAAGTCCCAAGGCAGTAAGGTTTCATCTGCACATCATTTTCTATTGATTTCTACACTGGTAACAACCAAATTCCTCTGCCAGTCATCAGATGATTCTGTTTAAGTTGTCAGTAGTTCTTATTAATCAGCTTGCCTGCGTGCCTGAAATGATCGCTATAAACGGCACCTCTGCCGGCAGTTCAGTGGAGAACTTTGGAGCCTCAAGACTGAAGGAGTGACCTCTGTCTGTTCAACCTGCCCCTCAACAGAGACTGCACCACCCTCTTATCACTAGAGGTAGCTTATTCCATATCAGAAGAGCTGCAAGCTGAGATCTACTCTTTCATCTAACTGAATTCTTAGCAATGACAACTGCATTGCTGTGCTACAGTGGTTATTATGATGATGCTATAAAACACTTACCTCCACAAGCTTCATCATAGGAACAGGATTGAAGAAATGGAGACCACCAAATCGGTCCTGCCTGGTGGTTGAGTTAGCCAACTGCGTGATTTGCAAGGATGAAGTGTTGCTTGCAAATATCGTATGCCTGGAAAAAAGAAACATATGGATTGCATAAATGACAGCTATTTTCCTGACAGTAGGAGATTGGCGCACTAAACATAAATAGACATCCATTGGCTAACCGTCCACAGAATTCTCAGAAATATCCCTACAGGTTATCGTGGTCCTTTTGCTGAGGTGTAAGTACAGCAATGATGAAATAACCACTGGAAAGAATGTGTGAGTTTCTGACTCCCAAGTAAGTATGTTGAATATTTATATCAGGTGATGGAAAAAAAAGACTCCATCAAAAAAGACTCTGTAAGTAGAAAATTTTTGTTAACTCTCCAAATCTATTCCAGGTAATTCCTTCAGGAATCCTGGAAACCTAATGGTATTTTTTACTGTTAATCATTTACACATCTATGGACACCAAATCATTTGCCGTGTCAAAAATGCACTTTGGAGACTTAAGAAAAATTTGGAATCTATTTTTTTTTAATAATGATCAATGGTAGACATGATGACCAAACCTACCACCAGAGCAAAGAGCTGATGGGAAAAAACAGAGAAAAGATAAAAACCGCCATGCATAGGACACTGCAAAGGACACACAAAATCACAAGACTTTTAAGACATACGTGAAGTCCTTTTCCAGGCATAAACCAGATTTACTAATTGCAATTAGTAAATGGTTTGGGTTGGTTTTTTTTTCCCCAGAAATATCTCAGAACCTCAACAGCCCTGCTGAAAATTCCTGTTTACACTTCTTACAAACATTCTTTTGTTATTTCCCCACCATAAAGTGGGCCTTATATTGTTCTGAGGTGGGGTCCTAAAAAGAGTATTCTACGTTTCATAGTTTTGACCTTGCAAGGTCAATGCATCCGAAAGACATTTATCATCACTGAAGATCTGCCACTGTATACAAAGAATTCAAATATTCATACAAAAATTAAGCACATTGATTTGTGAGATGTAATCATTGCTAGGTTTATATCTGGGTTCACTTAAAGTAAGAGATTTTACCTCAGCATCACTTCTGCAGGTGAATACTGCAGCCTCACACAACATAAAGCCTTGGGGAAAAAAAAGCATTAAATTTGTATTGTGTACAAGGGCATGTTATTTACACTTTTTGCTCTGACCAACCGATAGATTTAAATTGAGTTTAAAACAGAATTTACGTGCCTGTGACTTAGAATTACATAACCCATGCTTCAGGTGACAACAGCGTTGGAAGCCTTTTGAAAGCAACAGTAGTAGTGAAGCCCTAGTGATGCTTTTCCAGGCACCAGTGTGCTTTCTCTTGGTGCCATCTAGTGGGTCTTGGGAACACATTAAAAACAGAGTCCAACAAAAGAGAAACATACCGTTTCAATAAAACTCACTTACAGTCCAGCTCCGTTACACAGTGAACACTGAACAGCACTTCTTTTGTAACCGTTTTCTAACACACCGATTCTAACACAGCAAACAGTTGAAAACCACTGGCCAGTTCCTAGCTGCGTTTCCACACCTAAAGATAAATCCTAGACCAAGAGACGTTGACGGGCATTCTCACCACCCAGAAATAAACAAAAAGCAAGCAGGCAAGAGCTCTTAAAGTGGATACCCAAAAATTCTTTTGTCATGTTCATTACGATCCTGTTTGGAAAAGTGCTGCAGTGTTTAAAGGCCTAAAAGCCACAAAGAACGTGGGGATATTCTACAAAAACCCTAGCCCAACCTTTTCAAAATGGAAACATGAGACTGACTCAATTCAAGAAAAGGAGAACAGAACTGAAGAGCGGGTAGCAATGCTTTATCGCCTGCTCTGAAGATGATGACCACGTAACACAGCAACAATTACCATATTAGCAGGATGAGTGTAACACTGAGAGGAATATAACATGCACAAGCAATTTTGCAAAGCTCTAAGAACATACACCAGTATGCGCTCAGACTGATGGCATCCAAGAAAGAGCAGTCACCAGTTCACCTGGACAGTTACCCAGATGAGGAATACCCCGAGTTCCCAATGCTCTCTGGGGTTGCCAAACTCTCCCAGCTCATTACATTTTCTCTGAAAACTTAAGAGACATTCACGCCCCACCCCCAAATAAAACTTCTCTCAATAAAGAATAGCTTTCCCACCCCCCTCCATTTATAGAACCACTTTCAGAGAAGTTATAGTTATTTTATAGAGAAAAAGGAAGAGGAAGCAAGTTAATTGTGTTTTGTTTTGTTTAATGCAACGCTTTGGTTTTGTGCTGTCCCCAGACTTATCTTCATTGGAGAGGTCATCACAGTGCAAAAATGGGAGATGAACATGTAGCTGTTGCAGCTGAGGAAACACATGAGACATAGGATACAGTACAGAAGAAGAAAAATGCAAGGTTTCACACAGCTTATGTTCCAAAGGCATAATTCATCATCTGGTCTGAGCAACTGTAATACACAGCCCCTTACGTTTCGACCAGCTACCCCCACAGTAAGTCCCGAGATTTGAATTAAGACAAGTCCTCCCTCCTCAGAAGCCTGGTCTTTCATGATCTCTGCCTATAACATACGCTTCACAGTGCCATTAACGCCCAGGGCCGCACAGAAGCAAAGCTTCTCCCAAGACTGAAAGCTATCTTTAAACAAATCTTGTCTTCATTACCAACCAACCGTAAGTCCACCACCCCCATTTAAGCTGACACAACCATTAGTCCACATACTAGTTTTAGAAATTTTGAAACACTGAATCTTAGCAAAGGCTGCAGGATGCCTGCACTGACAGGGAGAGCTTTCTGTTCCACCGCAGTGCCATGCAGGATGAATAAAGCCTACTGCTTCCTTCTACGCACAGAAAAACACTCACTAGACATTTCTGCCTTTCCCCATGCTACTCGCACAATCTGCAACTCCATATTCCTCACATAATTACAAATTACCATTTGTATCTAATAGCTAATATTTTAAACACTTGGCTACTAAGTTTCACTATTTTAGTAGCTTTTCTTTCTTTTCATCTAGACTTTCTAAACTGCAACCCATGTGCTTCACCATTCACTTCCCTTTTCTTTATCCTACGTGTAAGCTATCTGTATGTTTATCATCATTTCTCTTAAAAAGGAAGGCTTCTTGTCTTATGTCATTTTTCCCAACCCTGCAAAATCATGCCTTTTGTCACAAGAAGGAGCGTATCTGAACAACTCCCAATATCTTTTAACACTCTAACGTAAAATTTGATGTTTTAAGTCAGCTATGCCTATGAACAGCTCAGCCTTACGAAAAATAGCCTCAGGTGTTCCAAATATATATACTGTTAAACGAGGGTCCAAGTCCCTGTGCCCGCTTTTCCTTGCTGACTGGTTCTAGACAGTTTGCTGTTTAGTATGCTCTAATTTGCTCATTAGCTTTCTCTGCTGAATATGAACAAAGACTCAGGCAACCAGTGGTCTATTTTCACAAAATAAGCAGAATCTAATCATGACAAGGTATCCTGATAATTGCCGAAGGCACCTACTTACTTTTGTCTGTCAGACTAAGGTAACAAGAAGTTACCCTGTGCTCAGTGCACTGCTGTTTGTGGTCATTTATTGTTTTCAGACTTACCAGGTAATTTTGATTACTGACCATATGAGACAGCCTGAAAATCTCCCCAGGCTGAAGTCAACTAACCGTAACACCTTTCCTCCCTTGACATTATATTCAAGCTGCAGCTTGGCTAGTTCTTTAGTTAGACAGTCTAGAATACCTCTTAGCCAATACTCCCAGATTTAGCTGTACTAGTTAAAACCCCAACCTGCAAGCAGTCAAAGTCTTGTGATCCTGAGTCATCCATTACAAGGATCAAGCTTCTGAGACTGTGCGCTTGCTTAACAGCATTTTTGAGTTTGGATATTATTCAACATTAACTTCCAACAGTTATCAAATATAGTTCAAAGAAAGTTCCAGGGACTGTAAGTAACCAAGTGAGTGGATGCTAAGAAATCATTTACACTTTTACCTCACACACAATAATCAGCAATGAGCTATTTCCAAACTCTTGCACTACAAAGTAAACTTAGTTCACTTAAGCCACTGTTGAGCTGATCATGACTTACAGCTAAGAGGTTGAGACTTCTTAAAACTTTTTCATGCTAGGCACGCTGAAAACAAGTATTTTATCATCCCAATTCCTTGTTTAAATATGGGAACACGTACGTTAACCATACCTCATGTGTACCAGGACAAGCTTATTTTACTGTTGTGCATTTGCATTTGGATCTGAACTTGCTGAGTAGATGGATAAACCTTATGACTAAACATACCTGGAAGCACATCAAATAAAGCAATGCAACAAGTAAATAAACCTGGTTGAGTACAACCGAAAGTGTTTGTAGCATATGCACCTGGCACAACAACTATTCCATACCACATGACAGTCTGGAGTTAGTCTAAGGGAGAAAAACTCCTGTTTTTGAAAAAATCAGCTAAGACAATGCAGAACTAACGGTGTAAGAATAAAAACAGAAGATACAAAGGTCTAAGTTTCAAAATGTAACAGGAAAAATACACATACTCTGGAGCAAACTTATCCAGCCTCTTGAAGAGTTCATTTTTAATTTCCTGGTTCTCCACAATGGCTTCTATCACCAGATCCGTGCTGTGGACCACTGCTACTGCATCTGTGCTTGTTGTGAGGTTCTTTAAGGTCTTCTCAATGAACTCAGCACCAGCCTGAAACATTTCCAAGAAGTTGCAATGTCTATGTACAAAGATTTATTTTTACATGAAAAATCCCCTTATATGCTCTGAAGTGTTTTTGAGCCCTCAGAAATTCAGGCAGTCTGCCACATTTCCAAATCAGTGAGCAAGTTCCAAGTATATACAGTTACAATGCTTTCGCTGACAAAATTTTCCTAGCCAATCAAATCTGCTTTGAAGCAAAGAGGAGATCTTTGAATTCATTCTTTTAGGAAGACTATTTCCTGCAGTCCAACCTTCAGCATAAAAGTCTGAGTGAACAACTGGTTGGTCAATCAGTAGTTTCTGAGACAACCTGGACTTGCTCTCCATAAAGAAGAACTTTTCCAGTTTCAAACCTTTACATTGTTTTCATTCAGTGATTATCTGGTTTCACTCCTATGAACAGATATGTGCTTGTTCATGAATACTTCAGGGAATGAAACGGCCTACACTCACTATAGTTTCAGTGCAAATGTGGGGAAAAATTATTCTGTTTTCTGACCAGTAAATCTGCCAATCACTGACATAGTTTGTGAGGACAGAAATCAAACAGAACTGCAAGACTTTGAACCAAGGGTAAACGGAGATGGAGTACAAGTAAAAACATACCTGCACGCTAGAATATAATTCCATATATAAAGTACAAGCATCATGTGGACAATTTTCTTTTGGATTAAAAGACCCCATAATTATGTACAGGAAATTATATTGCTCTGGTTATCCTGGTATTACTATCAAAGAAGCCCTTTTTCATTTCCTTTGTCTGCTGCATCATTCATGCCGGTAATCATCAATACCAGTGTATATTATACATGTTAATATGTATCAAAAGAGGAATTGAATCTGCTGTGGAATTTAGAGAAACAGGCATAGCAACAAATAACCCTTAGGATACTTAGGATATAAATTTAGATGCATCAACTGCTTCACAGTGATTTGCTGTATGTATTACTCAGTAGTGTAAATGCAAAGCATCTTATACATCTAATTCATGTTACTTCAGGGTAGTTAAACTTGCACTTTCATTTCCTTTGCAGTAATCCTGTGCCCAAGTCTTAATTAAAAAAAAAAAAAAAAAGTCCTTAAAAAGGTATTACAACAACTTTGTTACTATTGGCTTTTGGACAAAATTGGTGCATTTCCAGGTAAGCACTCAAAGACAGCTTGCTTTGAGACAGGATGAATAATTTCGCACCATTTCACATTTAGCATCTGTTTTAAAAGGTCACCAAGTTGTTTTAAATCTTTATCTCAAGGCTGAAGTCTACAAAGGAAAGAAAATAAGGTGAGACATCTTTCAACCTCCTTGAATCAAAAAAAAAAAAAAAATCCAAGTTCTTCAGCACACTCAAAAAAGTTTCCTTCTTAAGCCAGTATATTAACATGCTCTACAATACATAACTGTACACAGTATCAGAACTTCAGTATGGTAGTTTTATTGTCCTAAGTTTTCCTAGAGCTATAAAGAAGATGATGTCAACCTCAGGCTTATCCGCAAATTTCTTCTTTGTCACTCTCTTCAAACTCTCTTCAATTCCTTTTGTAGACTTTTTAAGGATTTCATCTGACTGGTCTACTAACACCACAGTGTGACCACTGGCTGCTGCAACCTGAAAGTTAAAAAAAAAAGATTGAACATCAGTATCATAAAACAACCAACCATACTGATTTGTGTTGGCGCAGACAATACACTAGACAATGAATTAGGCAAAAGAGAGCTAAAGAACATCGAATCAAGACTTAGACACTTTACTAGAAAAATCACAAAAACCTGCACACAGTTGGGGCAGAGGGGAAGGGATAAAGGTCTCAAACAACTTGAGGGAAAAGGAAAAAGAAATTCGTTTTTCCCCCAAGCTGTCTGCAGAATGCTACCTGCGCCTGGAGGCAGCTGAATTCTACGGCTATGGCTAGAGAACAAATGTCTTGAAAAGAGCAGGTGGCTTATCTGTGATCCTTAGATCTTGTAAGGAGAAAGGGCTGTGGAGACCGAAACTGGCATGCTGGCAGGGTGAAGAGGTGGCATAAGGGATGGCTAACCCTCTGTTCCTGGGATGCAGCGTAACACAGCTCTGCTGTTAGGCCATGAGCACATCCCTGCAACAACAGGAAGGTGACAGTGGAGCTGGGAGTAGCAGTGAAATGTTCACCACTCCAGGACTCTGCACAGACCTGAATGGCCCACAAACTCTCCTTATTATGCACTTGGTACAAACACTGGCTCAGCTACAGACAGCACTACTAGGTTGTCTTTTTGGTTGGTATTCAATTAATTTCAAACATATAATGTCACTTTCTCACACTGCAACAGCCTATTAAAAATCAGCTATTCATTACCTGTTACTTCACTATTCATTAATGTATGTTTTGCTTGTTAGTTAGCAACAGCCTATCTTCATTTTTGGAATTCTTGAACTAACAGAGTTGTAACATAACAATTGTGGAAAACAAATGTTAAAGCATGGTTCCACTGCCTCCTTTTAAAGTCACACAACTTAGCAGCTTACCTTCTGCAAACTTTTACTTTACATGTAACCTTGCACCTGGAGACTAAAGATTCTCCTGTGCCCACAAGACCTACTCCAACGAAGCTAGCTGAAATGAAAAATACAGAGATATCTCCTGAAGAAAAGCATGATGCTATTCTCATCCAAGTTGCCTCACTAATCCAGCAAATAAAGAAATGCCAGACCGCCTCTGGACAGCAGCAGTACAGCTTTAACAAGGTGTCAGTCTGCAGCTGGACACTTCTTTATCTTTTTTTTTTTTTTTTAAACTATGGCCATTTCATAAAAACAACTGAATCATAAAAAACATTTAAACCAAGCTTGGACTTGCACTCCTAACGCTTCATCTGTTGCTGATCGTTTGCGATGGCAAAGCAAGACCCTCCACTCTTCAGAAGAAAAATCAATACCAAGCACATTTATAAGAGATGCTTCACTGATGATCCATTTATGATTACACCATCACTGACCAGTTGGCAAAAAATCCTAGAAAAATTAACATCTCCCTTTTGCCACCTCATTCTTACCATATTTACATAGACAGGAAAGAAGGAAAATGACAAAAGGTCATACCGCCTCCTTGCGACTCAAACACACTCTCGCTCAGGCGCTACTATCCAGTGACCTTAAGAATACTAAATAAGAAACACAAGAGTGCTGGGGAGTCAATTAATGCTTTTCTCATACAGCAGTGCTTTTCACGTGGCAAAATCAGAAATTATAAACTCCTGGCTTTCAGCCATACATTTAGCGGAGGTTAGCTTCTCCTGATGGTATGAGAAAGCAAGGAAAGAGGAGAGATGATTTCTTAAAGCTTCTCCCTTTTAGAACACTTATTAATAGGGTGCAGAGGAGACCCCACTCAGTGTTACAATCATCTCTGCTTTGAGATAATTTTGGATTGATAAATCAGAGGCAGATGGTCAGCAAAACAATCCTTGGTCCTTAACAGTGGTAGAAGGCTGCAAGCCCTGTTACTGCCAAATACCAGACATGTTTCTCTTGACAAGCTGCTCTCCGAAAGCGTTCAGTCTAACAGAATATGCAGATCAGTTCACTTTCCCTGCAGAATCATAACCTTCGCATAGTGTGCGTCTTCCTCAAAATGAGAACAACTTTCTTCAGAGTTGTTCTTTGATGGCTCCTTCAGTGGAAACCTCAAGCTCTAGTATCAAGGTACAGAGGAGTGTTTTTACCAGACAAGTTAATAAACAACAAATTCCTTAGCAAAAAAAATAGCCCTTGTGTTCCTCCTGCTAGAGGTTTGCCAGGAATGTGAGAAATCTTCAGTTCTGAGAAGGAAACCCATTAATTCATTAAAATGGACAACTGCTATTTACGAACTCCAACCTCACTGTCAGTTTCCACTTGGGGATGCCTGCATACTCAGTTACTCTTTGTGAAGTTTGTGAACTACCCTGGTATCTTGGGCAACAGGCTCTTTCTGTGAATTAAGTAAATATCTAAATCTTAAATCACTGACAGGACCGTCCGGTCTTCTGTCCCAAAGCTATCAAGTTAAAGATGAACTTGAAAGCCAAAGGCCTGAGATTAAACACTGGGAAAATAAGTCCTATTTAAATATTAACCACTTCATAATTCTGCAGATGATTGACAGCTAAATGTTCATTTTAGCTGCTGTATTCTACTTTAATAACTTGTAAAATGTCACTTGATCTGCTCCCTTGGCAAGCGAGAAGCAGCTTCTTTCTTGGACCGACATTTTCCAAATATTACTACACGCTGTCTGGTTTATAAATAGTGCACACATTGTCTTAAGAACCACCTTAAACAATTTAAAACATCGACCTTGGTGGTTCTTGCCTACCCGCCTGACCTGCAGATGCGTGGATTAGCAAGAGAACAAGAAGTTTGAAAGTTGAGCAACCGGGCAGCAGCGGTGCTTCTACTTCCCCCCAGCAATAAAACCGAAACTCACAGAAGCCTGCCAAGGCGGCAGAACGGGCGCGTCCCCCCAGAGCCCCAGCAGCCCTCAG